TAATAATATAATTAACTTCTGATAATATAAATAGTTGATGAAATCTATGAGTAGCTTACTAATGTATACTAGAATAATAAATATTATTTAGAAAATTTTAACTAATCTAGATAAGCCTTAGCCACTCTAGTAGGTTTAAGCTACAGATAAATATGTTTAAACTCTTATTCTTTTATATAGCATTTATATTACTTAGAGTTATAGTTTTATAGTTAGCAGTTTAATGATTAGTCTTGACTGCAAGTGTTAGTCTTAGTTATAGCATATATAGAACTTATTTTTGTATTTAGTAACTTCATATAGTTACTACTTAATGACTATGAATAAAGATAGAAACAAAGCTTTATCTTAATATCAAAAAAAATAATTAATAATATAAAGCATAATATTATGTTATATAAAAATTATTGTATTGATAAAATAAACAAAAAATATCTAATAATATATATTAATACTAATATATATATTTTGCTTTATAACATTTTTTACATTATTTTTCTTTTATTTTTAGGCACTCTTTTTATATAAAATCTATATTCTAATTTTATATTTAATATATATATTTTATTTTATCTTTTATATTCAATATATATTTATTTCTATCTTTTTAATTGATGCATATATTTTAAACATTTGATGAATATATATATCTATTTTATTTTTTATATTTATATTTTTTATTTATTTCTAATTTATTTTTATTTTTTTTTGATTTTAATGATTATTTTTTTAATTTTTTTTATATCTTTTTAATTTTTTCTTTTTTATATCTTTCTTTTTTATTTTTTATATTATTTTTTTTTCCTTTTTTTATATCTTTATTTTTTATTTTTATTTTTTTTCTTAAAATATGTTGGCAATGTAAGCATTATAATTGAAGATTTTCAAAATTATTTACATTAGTACAACATATTTTATAAAGTTATTCTTATTTTTAATATTTCACAAATAATACAGTTTTTAAAGAATACTTAGATAATAATAATATTTGAAATATTTTAGAATATAGTTCTAATAATTTTGTTACAAAATATAAAGCAAATAGTTATATATTTTTAATTTTTATAAAACATTATATAATGATAATATTTTATATAAAGTGAAAATATGTCAATTTCATTCAAATTAATTCTAAGTGAACCTTCTTATATAGAAATAAAATATCTTTCAATTAATGATATGATTAAAAATAAAGTATTTTAAAATATAACTAATAAAAGTAATTTTAATAACTATAGAGATACTTTAACAGATAATGTTATTAATAAGTTAGTTGAAATTGACTTCAAAGATTTTGAAAAAGCTTTATTTAATGATGCTTTTGATAACTTATATAATTTATATAATATCAAATAGTCTAACAATGCTTATCATGAATTTTTAAAGATAGTTAATAAATAATGATTTTCAAATTTAGCTAATAATGTTTTATAACAGATCTTTGAACTATCTAATAAATTAAATACTATATCTTTTTTTCTTATATTTTTATTTTATATTTAAATCTAGATGAGCTTTAGTTATTTTTGTAAATTTAGATTACAGATTATATATTTAAATTTTTATTCTTTATATATATTTAAAAGCAAGCTTTTCTTATAAAAACTTTACTTGAATTTAATAAAGTTAAAAATATGACCTTATCATTAATATTTTAAAAAAGATAATATTATTATAGTATTATAGTACTGTAGTGCTACTTTATATATAAACATATAATTAGTATAATCTATAAATTAAAACAATCTTTTTTTTTATAAAAAAAAACTTTTAATTAGATTTAAATTAAAATTAAGGTTAAAATTAGGCTAAACATAGCTTATACTAAATTTTGCAAAGAATTTTTTTTATTAATATGCAAAAGATGATTTTCTAGTTAAAAATTTTAAAATATAATTTATTTTTTAAAATTTGATATTTTGTTATACAAAAGAATAATCTACATATTACACCTAATCTTAAATTTTAATTGGTTACAATACTTTAGCATTATAGTGTCATAATACTATAAAATAAATTCCTTAAAAAATAAGATTTATAAAAAATATAAGATTTTCAATACAGTAATAAAAATTAATTTGAATTAATTTATATATTTAAAAATTACTAATTTTACAAATTTCTTCTAATCTTAGATTATATATCTTATACTCATTAGTACTATACTAGTAAGCTAAATTTAATATAAATAATTTTATTGAATTTAGCTCAATATATTAAAAGTTATAATTAATAGTATATAAACTTTTAATATCTATAGTATATATATTATAAATCTGATTGTTAGGATCATGAGTGCCTGAATCAAATAAATGACCCATACTCAATTCAAGATCATAAAAAAAGTAATAGAAATATTATTTTTGTTACTTTTGTTACTTCTGCCATTTTAGTTACTTATATAATAAATAGAATACTAACCTTTTATTACATTTAGTTAATATATAGCATATAAGAAATATATTGCATTTATGACAGAAATTAATTACAAATGTAAATAAAATATTTATTATAAATAAAGAGCATTTCTGCTTTGAAAACAAGAGATTTCTTAGTTCTATATACTAGTAATTTCTGCATTTCTAATAACAAATTCTTTAGTAACAATAAATACCAAACCTTTAATAAAAGTGAAAGTTTACTTTATACAAACTAATAAACTATTATTAAATCTCATTGTTACCCTATTGTTCATCAATACATTACTAAACATATCATTAATCACTTATCACAAATTATGTAACTAAATTGTTAATATAATAGAAGAAATTCTAACTCTAATTCAATATAATATAATTTTAGATTGTAAAAGACAAAAAGAAAACAAAAAAAGACAAAGTGTTAGTAGAAAAATAGAATGCAGAAAAAATCTAAAAAGAAAAATAGTACTTACTTATAGATAAACCATCTAACCAAATCTAATATGCTTATTTTAACCTAACTACTATAAGTTACAGAGAGTTGAATTAATTTAGCAACAGACTTACTGATTTGCAAATCACAATATCTTCTAATTTACAATACTATATGTCTTCTTGTATGCTTTCTAAATAATGTATTCTTAATCAAAATTTTTAAATATTGAATATTTTATATTAAATAAAAATTTCTTTTTCTAGTTCTATTATATAATATTTTCTAATTTATTAGATTAAAGATTTTTATAATAGGTTTTGTAACAAGTAATACAATTAAGTTGATTCTTTAACTTGTATAATTTTTCTAATTATTGTGAGATAAAATAAATATAACAATAATGATTTTTTTTGTTATAATAAGCCTAACTTTTTTATTCTACTTAGTTTTAATTACATTTACATCTATAAGTCAAGTTATTAAGTTTCAATTAGTAATAAAATAATTTACTTTTATATAATTATAATTATTATAGTTATAATATTAATTTTTTGAATAATCTTTAAACAAATAGATAGTTTGTTTACAATTTTTATAAATTAATTATTTTCTAAGTTTGTTGAGTCAGTTGATAGATTGGTAATCAAATTATTACAATATTGATATTAATTTTTAAAACAGTTTTCATATTAGTAAATAGTCTTGTTACAGATAAAACAGATTTTTGATAATCTCTAAAGAATTAGAAGCAATATTAGTAATAACAATAATAATACTTTTAGATAGTTCTTTTATTTTTAATTCTAATTCTTTTATTGTTTGATAAGAAATCATACTGATAAAAACTCTATTATCATAATAACAAGATAAATTCAATCTTAAATATCAATATAACATTTAATAAAAAGTATATTGAGACTTAGTAATTTTTTAATTTTCTTTTATAATATAAATAATAAAAACAGTTCTAATAAAGTAATTATCTATTAATCTTTTCTAATTGTTAATGTTTAAAAAGATTTGTATTTTAACTAAATTCATATTTTGATAATAGAATAAAATTAAGTAATTTCTATCTCAAATTTTTTATTACTAAAATCATTTCATGTTATGTGCTTAAAAACATATATAAGAAAAAAATTCTTTATAACCTAAAATAATATCTATGTTCATGATCTTTTTTTCAAACAACTTATCAGATAACATCTCTCTATATTTATATCCACTAACCAATCTATTTATCAAATCCTGTTTCAAACTGATATCATCCTTTAATATAAAAATTTTAATATTTCAAGAGATAATCAACCAAAATTTGCTTTAAAATTGACTTGATCACATGATTGTTCAACATCATTACTTGACTGCATGATTGTTTCCTATTCAACAATTGTAACTTTATTCTTTTCTGAATTACTAGCCATGCTAGATGAAATAATAGGATTATTACCGTATTATCGCAAAATAACGCCCCGGGGCGTTATTTCGCGACGATACGGTAATGCTCGATGTAACCAAAACGAAAGTCAGGATCGCAGAAAAGACAATATTACCTTTTTATTATTTTCCAAAACTTTACTAATATACTACAATCCAATTACCTCATAATTACTCAATTATCTCGTACTTATTAAAGTACTAATCGCATTGATCACACTCTCATCAATGATCGCATTACTAGTTACTCAAATTACCTCATACTTTCGTTCGATTAATCGACAATCGATCGAACATGTTCGATCGGATAACATATGATTCGCGATAAAGGCTGCTCGATATTTACGTATTGAGCAGCTATTAGTCAACAATTTTGCAGAAATTTATTCATGTATGGTAATTACAAAAAAATTTAATTTTGCCAATTTTGCATATGGCGTAACTAAAACAGGCATTTTCAAATTGTGGCTAAATACCGTGCAGAATTGCACCGATATAATTCAGGAAACCAATTAGCATATGTCGGTAAATTATAACAAACAATATCTTATAATGAGTTAATTAAAACGCAATGTCACTTTTTGTACCTATGTTGCACAGAAAATTCTTTGTGAAAGATCCAACGCTAATGCATTATATTTAAGTGACAAAATTTCTAAAATTTTTATTATAACTCGTTAAATTTCATAAACTTTGAATTCTATAAAATGCAAATTAACAACGAATCTGAGTGGGTTGACGTGGAAAGTAATAACGATAAACGTAATGAATTAGACGGAGGCATACAGAGTTCGAAAAAAGCCTGTAAGTTATTGTACTAATTAGAAGTTATTGCAATAAATTAATTTCTTGCATATGTAAGTAACAGTGAACGGTTTTGAAACAGTAATTCAATATCCAGAACAATTAGAAGCCTGCTTAAAAGACATAAAAACTTTCGATTTTTCGCAATTTATTATTAACATCGAAGCAATTGGACATGGAGCGTCTTCAGTTGTATATTCGGCCACTTTCAAAGGAAAAAGCTATGCACTGAAATGTTTTAACAATAATAACCTGTGCTTTAACAATAGCTTTTGGCTCGATGATAAAAAAATCACTCGTGAGGTAATGTATCAATTATAACGTTGAAAAATTATAAAATTAATATATGGGGGTGAGTCAGTATAAACGCACCAAATTTTTTTTTAGTGAAATATTTTTAAACTTTTGAATAAATAACTAAAAATTTTTGTAAAATTATTGTCCGAAGCGAGGCGAAAGACGTATATTTCTAGACCATTTCAATGCGATGTCCGAAAAAAACCAATAAAATTCATTTTATGCAGGATGCAGATCACAGTACTATAAATCTCAAACTAAAAAACTCTGCCCAAACCCAAATCCCAAGAGTTTTCTTATGATTCGGACTTTTAACGGTTTCCGTTTCCTAGTATTTATTTAAAACTTAAAAACAAAAAAAAATTTACTGAGAAACAATTTGGCCCGTTTCTACTCACCCCAAATGTCTAATTATAACGTCTAATTATAACGTCTGATTATAATGTCTGATTATAATGTCTAATTATAATGTAGATCAAACTTCTTTACAATATTAACCATCCCAACGTTATAAAATTTTATGGAACTTCAACAAGTGCGATAAGACTCAATTTTGAAATCAAATCTATATTGAAAATAAGTATTAATATCATTTAATGAACTTTAGATACGCAATCAGGCTGCTTCATGATCGTATTACAATTGGCAAACAACGGAAACTTAAGGATCCATTTACAAAAGAAGCATCATGACTGCGTTTATAAAATTTTATGGACTGAACTCATTCAAACTGCTAAGGAAATTACTTTTGGATTAGAATATTTACATAAGAATAACATAATTCATCGAGATTTAGTGAGTTTCAAGTCAAGTTTTTTAATTTATGTACTAATTCGATTCAACCTCAAAAACCAAATCATTTATTATAAATCCATTAGCATTCCAAGAATATCTTAATAAATGATGATAAAGCCCTTATAGCGGATTTCGGACTATCAAAACAATCAAATGAAGTCACCTCTTCCGACTCAGATGTGGGAGGAATGCCAGCATATATTGACCCACAATACCTTCAGGGTAAAAAAAAAAATCGCGATAAAAAATCAGACATTTATAGCCTGGGCGTATTATTCTGGGAACTTACGAGTGGAATTCCTCCATTCCGTAAACTTTCTAGATATCATATTGTTGCAACTGTAATCGAAGAAAAAAGAGAGGAAATCATTCCCAATACGCCTCCAGATTACGTAAAACTTTATCAAAAATGTTGGTCTTCGGACCCCAATCAGCGTGCATGTCTGGATGAAATTTTAATTGAACTTGAGAAACTATCGTCAGAAACAGCTGAAGTTGAATATATTACCAATCAAGTAAAGCAGCTAGTTTCTCCACTTACTCGTTTCAACGAACAGGATGATACCAAAATCTCTGAAAACCGGACACAAACTTTCAACGATTTGATTAAATTAAAATTATCAGATGAGGTCTTAATTAATATTTTTAAATATGTAAAATCTCCTTTAAATTTGATATCGACCTGCAAAGGATGGTATTACATTTCTCGTGACCACCAGGCAAGAGCCAAATGGATTAATTATCAGTTCGGAGGTGCACATTCACTTTTCCATGCAATTAGATTAGGTTCAAATTTTATTAATATACCTGTTGTTAAATCAATGATCGCCAATAATGCCATTATCACTAGATACTTTATTCAAAAACTGTCTCTTCAGTTTGAAAAAAATGGACAAAACTTTATTGAACCGAAATTGGATCATGATGTTAATCTTAATAGTTCTCAAGATTCTAGAATGTCATGGGCCAATAACTTGCAAGATCACATATTTTATTATTTATTAAATATCGCAGAGAGTCAGTTTGGATCACTTTGTCAGTTAGGTAACGATATGGAGTTATTTCATTTTTTATCCGCAGGGCCACATGTAATTGATAATGCTAGGGACATCTTGCAGAAAAATTTAGATTCCATAAAAGATCTGATTCATAATTTCAAATTTATTCCATTCCCACCTCGTCCAAAACATGTTCAATCACAACAAATTGAAGAATATCCTGCAAAAGATGGCTATGAAAATAATAGGCAACTTAATATTATCGCTAGAGCAATATTGATTCATAAAGATCTGGTAAACCTTTGGAAAGAAATTGGGTACTATGGAATTTGTGAGGATGTTAATGACCTAGTTTTACAAGGAGCCCTTTTGATACTTTATCCACCAACCGCAGGCCAGATCATTCCAAATGTTGATAAAATAGTTGGTCGACTTAATGAGCTGATAAATATTGGATTTTCATTAGATTATAAGGTTATTGGAGATATTTTGAAGCTTTATGAAAAGAAATTATGTTATATTGGAAATACATTGATCGAAGCTTTTTATTTGGTTAAAAAGGGTTCAAAGAATGAGTTGCCAAAAAGAGAATTTTTAAATAAATGTTTGATTGAAGCTTTGGATTCCAATAGAGGGTTTAAAGAATTGGAACCTTTTAATCTTTTGTATTTACACATTGACAATAATCACGAACAGATGTTTTCTGATGCGATGAATTTTCATCTTAAAAAAAAACGAGATAATATAACCTGGCGTACCAATAATGATATTTTCAAACCATTAGAATTCTCCTCCGTATTTTATAACTGGTGTTTACATAACTTTCAAGATACATATATAACAGATTGGTGTTTTGAAGATATTTTAAAGACTAGAATAAGTATAGATAGGTATTATCAAAAGAATCATATTGGTTACGATCCAAATACATTCAACGATGTGTGCGATATCTTTAAAACATATTGTAATACAAATAATTTCTATAAACCTTCGCATTTGAAATTAATTTCTCAAGCAACTCATGCGGATATATTTGGAACATTATTTGATTATTACTTACTTACTCTATTTGATATTCCAACTGCAAATGCATCAAGAAAAATAAATATATACCGGGGCGACTCCTGTAAAAACATTATTGATTGGTATAAACCACTGGTTACGGAATTGCATGTCGATAGTTATGATATAAGTGAGAGAGAAAATAAAAAATCTGAATGGATTAATGAATTAGAAAAAATTCAATATGAGCTATTGTATGATCCAAATCACTTGGCAGCGACAAGTAAATTTTGGCAATACGTGAATGAGTTCTGGGAAAAGTTTAACAAGGCAAAAGATATTATTAAAGACGCCAATGGTCATGCTAATATACGTGACAAGTCGTATGATTCCAGAGATTCTAACGCATGATTGTGCTGCTCATAGTGCAATTCGTACTGTGCTAGGATGATAAACGGATTAATGAATCAAATATATGGCAGATATGTTAACAATAATATTTTAAATTGAGTAACAATAAATTATATCGATATTAAAATTTTATACATCGTTAGCTTCATAGATATACAGTATAAACTTCTGAGTTTCATTTTGATGTTTGTAAAATAGGTAATATGAATAACCGCGACTAAGATAGTATAAATTAATCCAAAAATGAATCAATTATCTTCTTATTTGAATAAGTTTATTTATGAAAAAATGTTATTAAAAGGAATACATAATTCTGGTTCAATTTGTTAATTATTATTTGAAAGTAAACTAAAATAATCATTATTTACTTAAATAAAAAACATCAGAATACATAAAATAGTTTATAATTAAGGTAATATTAATTAATATAGAATATTAGATAAAGATTTGAAAAAAATATTTTTTATGCTATTTTTCTTCAATTTGCTTAATAAGAATAATAGACTAATTATGTGTCTTTTCTACAGTTATATTAATAAATTTTTTTTATTTATATAATATCAAGTAGAAAAAATAATAATATACAAATATATCAGTTTATATAATTGTATAATTAGAAAATTTATTTCTAAAATACATTATTGTTATATATATTTAATGACATCTAGTGTAATATTATCTTCTTATTTTTTATTATTAGCTAATTCAACCATTATATTATTAATTACAAAAAGGATAAAAGGAACCTTTAAGACTGTTTTAATTAATAAAAGCAAGTATATATAATAAAATTTTAAGAGAAAGTTTTAAAAATAAAATGATTTATATTGGTATTAAAAATAAAAATGTTATTATTAGAATTTTTTTTGAATATTATAGATGAGATTATGTTTTTAATTTTATTGAAATTTGGAATATAGTAACTTAGTAAAGTGGATAAGTTGTTAACCTTCCAAGTGACAAGTTGTAAGTTCAAAACTCATCAGAAATAAAATTTAGAAAAATACATCTGTATTATGACAATAACATTCTGTCAATCAGTTGAGATTAGATGCTCTGTAATTATGATCATGCTAGCATAACTGTTAAATTAAGAGGCATTTGTATAATTTGGTTATACAGAAGAATGTAAACTGTTATCAAATAGTACAAACTTAAAATAAATTCTTGTACTTATATAAATATATAAAACTAGAAAAACTGAAGCCTACTTAAAAAGATCTAAAAAGAGAGATAATACAATCTTTGATCAAACTATCTTTACAGAAATCTATTAATTTTTTGAAATATTTTTATTATATAAATATTATATAATTAATATTTATTAAATTATTTGTAAGCCCCTTGTTAATAGCTAATTAAAAACTATTTATTAGTTTTTACACTTGTTATTAGTAAATTAAATTATAAAAATTTATATATTAAAATTAAAATAAAAATTTAAAATATATAAATTATATATAAAATTATATAAAAAATTTTTTTTGTTAGTGAGTCAAATATAGTTTACTTAATAAACTTTTTTGTTATAGTTAATTTTTTTAAAAAATATAATTATTTTATTTTTTTAAATATAATATCTAATTGTTTATTTAATTAATAAATATTATTTATAATAATAATTATTTATTATAATAAATAAATTTATTACTTTTATTATTTAAATAAATATTTCAAATTTTTTTTATATTTAAATTATATATATATATATATTTTTTTTTTTGCTTACGCTAAGGCCTTTTAGTTATGGTGGCTACTGCCTTTATTGTGAATTCAATTATGATTACATAACTTGTACAAGGTTACCCCTATACTATACTAGCAGATAACAGTACAAGCTCCCATACACCTAATTAGATGCCATCTAACCTAACCTTAACCTTCCTGTCTGTACATCTGTCAGGCCGTTATACATTTCAGAGTATGTCATCTGACTATAGGGCTCCAGGGGGCCCCTCTGCTAACTAACTACCCACATTTAATCTTTGCTAAAAGGGCTCGCCCTTGCAGAGTTCACTCAAATCCCAGCACTGACTTTATAGCATATCCCTAATATTTTAGTATACCCCTATTTCTGATCTCAAACTCCCAATTCAGATAGCCTGGTAGGACTGTGACCTGTCTCTGGACCCCAGAGTCTGCCTCCCAAGATTCTTTCTTCTGGTTCGAGTCTTCCAGTGGCCTGGTTGGTAGTACCCCTCACTGAGGTTCTTGCCCATCCGATTTCTTCCACATTGGTATCCATTTCCTAGGTCTAGCCTTTACAATAGTACTGTCAAAGATCTGTGTTACCTCTCTACTTGGGTTTTCCCAAGTGGGCTTTCAGTTATCCTAGTTCACAGATTTACATGGCCACAGATGCCCCATGACCTGCCAGTTATCTGATGCGACTATATTATAGGTACTAATCCTAACTGATCGATAGATAGCCATTGCCGTAGTACTGGTTTCAAGGACTTATCTTGTGTTTGCACTGCTCAATACCAGTTTGCATTCCTCTATGTAACTCTAGCATTGCACTGATGCCCATATATACTAATGTAACATAGGTGGTTTTCCAAATTTTCGCTATCCGTAGGTTTTGAACTCCCAACCTACCACTTGGAAGGTTGACAACTTATCTACTTCACTAAGTCGCCATACCCTAAATTATATATTAATTATATAATTATTATATATTAATTATATTTAAAACATATTTTAAATATATATTAAATATTTTTTAATTAGTTTCTTATAAGTCATTTAATAAGTATAAAAAAAATATTTTTATTATATTTTTATTATATATTTATTATATATTTATTTTATTATATGTTTATAATATTATAATTATATAATATTAATATAATTATTATATAATTATTATATAGCAACTAATCAGTTTCATTAAGACAATTCTCTCTGCTGATCACTTATACACAAAACTGTAAAAAAAGATTTTAAAAGTTTGCTAAAAAATGGCTATTAAAACTAACTTCACAGGCTTAAGAAAAAAGATAGAATTTATGAAAAAAATATAACAAGAGGTAAAAATAGAAAACTAGAAAACTTGTAGAAAAGATAAAAAAGGAAATATCTCAGTCAATATTTGAAAAAATAAAATTTGGAAAATTCTTTGTATCTGGAAATGTCGATCTATAGATCATAGCAACATGTGAATAGATAAACAAACAGATACATGTAGTAACAGACATATAAACAAATCCAATTTGGATAGTAATAGGCATAAGACATAAAAAGTTCTAGAACAAATAATAAATAAGAATCATCAATAACTAAGCAAAATATGAGTAGCATACAAAATTGAAAAGAAAGTCTAATAACAACTTATATCAAAAGAGTATATTAGGCAACAAATAGCATACACAACAAGATGTTTTTTAACCAAGCTAGTAAAATTATTCCAACACCAAACAAAAAAGATGAGATTGTGATTATATTAACAGAACAAGATGCATTAGAGGTTGCTTTGCTGCATATAACAAGAGAAATAATCAAGAAAGTAAAAGAAGAACAGCCAGATAAGAAGATCAATATTATGAAACAAGACAAGAATATTATAGTAGAAGAACCTATAATAAAACAAATACAAGATAAACAGAAAGAGGTATATCAACAGTCAACAGAAGTAAACAGAAACCAGGAAGAAAAGATAAGTCCAACAAACAACAATTAAGAAAAAGAAATTTTGTCTATACAAGAAAGAGACACAGAAGTACAAAAGAAAGAGCAAGAACAAGAAGCCATTGAAATAGAAATCAAAAAAGAAATTAATATAGTTGAAGAACATCTAGAAGAAAGTATATAGGCTCTAAGCAAAAGAAACTGTAATTAAGACAACAGTCTGCTTGCAAATATACCAGCATATAATGTACTAGGAAAAACAAAGAAAGAGCATATGAAATTTATTAGATGGTCACTAAGAAACAATGCATATGTTAAAGATATTAAAGAAGTTTTTAAAAGAGAAAACTTATGAATAGAAGTGGATTTTGATTGGAAATATAGCAGAAGTGCAGCAATATAAAGAATTAGCAAGAAGAAGAGTGACTGGTACAGAATGATATCTGAAGAAAAAAAAGGCAGCATGAAGAAGCGGATATAATATAATGAGAAATATCAAAAGAGAAGTAACAGCAAAATGAGAACCAAAGAAAAAAAACAAAAATGAAAAAAGAATAAAACTAAAACAAATGAAAACCAATATAAAATAAATAAAGAATCTGAAGACAAGGATTATCTGATGATTTGGAATCTACCAACAAATATAAACAAAAAAAAAATAGAATACATCTGTAGAAGATTCTGAAAAGCCTATATAGTAAGAATTAAAAGATTAAAATATAAGGCCTTAGCAGTAGTTAAGACAGAAGAAACATACGAAGATATTCCATGAGCCATACTAGTAAATAGTAATAAACTGGTACAAGTAACTAAAGAAATTAAAGATTATAATGCTAGAGAAAGACAAAAAAATTATATAGCAAAATTGACAAAATTAGCTAAAAGCACTTCAGAAGTCTTATTACTATGAAGTTTAAAGAACAAGGAAATAAAGTTAGTTCATATATTTTCAAATAGAAATGAAAACCAAAGAAGAACAGCAACAGTCATGTTTGCAACAGAAAAGGATATAAAAGCAGCCCAATTGAAATTATTTATGTATAATAATTTCTAACTGTACTGGTTAAAAGAAGAAAAAAGAGAAATAGGATGACCAAATAACCTTAAAAAAGTAAGAAGAAGAAGTTAAGAAAGGTCCTTTAATACAGAAGAGAATAACAGTTGAAGAGGAAAACAAGAATTCAAGCTAAATACAAATAAAAGAAAGAGAGAATGGAATAGAAGAATAGAGGATCAGCAGCAGCAAGCAGAAGTAGTATACAAGTCAAAATACAAAAAACAAAACAAACATACAAATCTACTTGAAAAAAAAGAAAAACTACACAAAAGAGAAATAACTGAACTTAAAACCCAGATACAAGAAAAAGCTATAT